TCTATATGCATCTAATTACATAGTCTCAAAATATCTAAAGCAAAAGCCAACAGAACATGATGAAACAGACAAATCCATGATCCTGCTGGGAGGTTACACACACAGCTCTGGGGGACATGTAAGAAATGACTATAATCTTACACAACGTTTCCCAAAAAAAGAAGAAAATGAGAAACATTTCCAAACTCTTGTGATGAGGACAAGAAAACTCTAATACCAAAACCATAACAAGGATGAAATTACAGACCATTTCACTCATGAACACAGATGCTAAACTCCTAAACAAAACAACTAACTGAATCTAGTAATACATAAAAAAGGATAATACATCATGATCAAGATGGGTTTATTCCAGGAGTGAGAAGTCACTTTAATATTTGAAAATCAATGCTGATTCACCACAAAATAAATCATAATTTTCTCAGAGGATACATGAAAGTAATTTAGTAAAACTCAATATGCATGCACAATTTTTTTTTTGACTCTTAGCAAACTAGTAATAGAAGGGTAGTTCCTTAATCTGAAAAAGCCTATCTATTTTTTTTAAAGGCATACTGTTGAAAGCCTGCCCTCTGAGACTAGGAGAAAGGTAAGGCTGCCACTCTGGGCACCTCTTTCCAGGATTGTTCTTGGAGTCCAAGCTAGCACAGGAAGCAAACACACACACACACACACACACACACACACCTGGTAAAGGTTAAGAAGGAAGACAACTCATTACATGTAAATAATACTGTGTAAGTAGAAAATTCAACAGAACCTACCAATAAACTATCAGAATTAGTAAGTGAATATAGAAAGATTGCTAGATAAAAAGTCAGCAATCAAGAATCAATTGTATTACTATATACTAACAAGTAACAAAAGATGTTAAAATGACATTTATAATAGCGTCAAATCAAATACCCAGGGATATGAACAAAATATGTACAATATTTCTGCACAGAAAACCACAAAATCAAGGGAAAAAAATTAAGACCTAAAAAAATAAGGAAATTCACCATTTTTGTTGGGAAACTGTAAAGATACCAATTGTTCCCAAATTAATCCATAGGTTTAAAGCAATCATAGTCAAAATCCCACTCTTTATTTTGGTGAAAACTGACGAGTTAATTCTAAAATTCACTATAAATACAAACGATTTTAAATGGCCAACCCCTTTTAAAGATGGCAGAAAGGCTTGACCTTCCCAATACCAAGACTTACTGTCACACCACAGTAATGAAGGGTGACACTGGAACAAAAATAGACAAGTGGACCTCTGGAGTCTAGTCCAGGTAGGTGAGAGATCCAGGTGTGAAAATACACCACCAGTAAAACTTCTAGATCTAGAAGACAATATAAGAGAGTATCTTCATAACGTCAGAATAGGGGAATTTTTCTTAAGCCACAAAAAAGCATTATCCATAAAGGAAAAGATAAATTTGTGTATATTACAACTGAGCACTTCTTTTTATCAGATGACCCCACAGAGAGTGAAAAGGGAGACTACAGGACTCATTGCCAGAGTCCATAAAGAACTCTAGCTTGATAAGAAGGCAGGCCAGCATAAAAATGAGCACGGGTCTTGCACAGGCGCAACATAAAAAGATGTCATCTTGCACATTATAAAAATCGTTTGTCATCAGAGAGACGCAAAGTAAAGCCACAGTGAAACACCATTACAGTCTCACTCCCAGCAGTGCTTAAACTAAAAAGACTGACAAATACGGGGGTTGAGGACATTGAGCATCTACTGCCTTCCTCCACTGCTGGGGGGAATGCAGAATGATGCAGCCCCTTGAGGGTGCAGGTTGGCAGCATCTCCTTGCACTTTTTAACAGATCCCCAGGGGCCTCAGGAAAGCCTTTCTTTACCAGGCTCAGGTCAGACACCTCAAGGTCCTGCTAGAGCAACTAAGAAAATATACATATTTTAACATCTCTGAAGTTGTGATGCACCTGAATCCATTTTCCCTCGGTTCACTCAACATTTCAGACTTGACTAGTGCCCTCTCTTTCGTGGCACTTTGGCTTAGTTGGTAACTACACTGTCTGCTAAATGCCTCCCACGCTGGACTGGAAGCTTCAGGAAAACAGACTATCGTCCTTCCCTGCTGCAACCCCTAAAACTGGAATTGCCAGGTCAAAAGGCACGCACATTTTTCAGTTACTTTTAATTACACGACTCACGAACACATCTCTATTCTAAAGTGCAGCAATATATTGCACAAACCCTCCCCGTCCCGCTCCCTCCTTGAAGCTAGCCACTGTCAGCAGTTTAGAATGTATCCTTCTAGACTGTTCTTTGCATGTACATGCATGTGAATACATGGTACGCGTATTATTCAGAGGCCAACTGTCTACTTGCCACAAATACTGTGGCAGCGCACGCACCAGCAGTAAATGAGAGGGTCTGTGTTGCGTCCCTTGCCAAATCTGGATGTATTCTATCAGTTTTTCTCCAATTTGGTAATAGAAGCCACTGGATGGTTCAGATCTATATTCCCCGGATATACTGTCTTTTGGGGTGGTTTTCCAGATACAAGCATCCTCCTCTCCATCCCGCCCCAGCACCCTGAGTTACAGACCTCCCCCTACTCCTTCCTCTGTCACCAGTGGAGGGCTATTTTACAGTGAGCTCTTTAACCCAACTGGAATTTATTTTTACATGCAATTATAAAGAGAATTCTTTTTTCCAACCAGATAACCAACTCTGCGTATTATGATCCTTCCTTGATTCTCCCAACTTAAATGCCATTTTGATCAGATATTAACTTCCTATACACACTCAGAATGTTTTCTGAACTTTCTATTACTTTTCACTGATCTGTCTTTGGGGCAGAGCCTTGATTATTGTAGCTTTGTGGTAAGTTTTAGCACCAGGGACCAAAATTCCCCCTCATTAAACTTAAAAAATTTTTATTAGCAATTTTTGCACATTTTCCTTCCACATTAATTTTTTTTCCTTCCACATTAATTTTAAAAACGCTTTTGCCATAGTTTAAAAAGTTCCTATAAGGAAACCATGTTCCTTGTGGGAACTTAATTAAATCTCTATGTAAGAAGGCTGAATATCTTTACATTACACATATTCCTATCCAGATATTTAGTCCAGTTGTTTGTTTTAGTCTTCTGGTATTTTTAAAAATCATTCTTCATTTGGATCTTCATCTTTCTTGTTAAATTTATTCCTAGATTTTGCTGTTTTTATCACTATTGTGTGTAGAATTTTTTATTTTTTTCTACTTTTAGCTGATTATTGCTGTTGGCTATTTGTAGATTTTATATCCAACCATTTTACTAAGTTCTCTTATTCTGATTTATTCTAATTTTTTTCATTGACTCTTAGATATTGTAGCTAGAGAATCATTGTCTCTTCTAGTTTTTATACTACAAATTTCACTTTGCTATTTTTTACATTAACTAGAAGCTCACTGGGGGGATCCACCAGCTTTATCCTGGTTATAATGACTTTTAATGGTTTTAATAATTTCCCACTTAACGTGGCATTTGCTCTCAGTGCCTCTTTCAGCTTTAGTATCGCTGAGAGCTCATTAGAAATGCAGAATCTAAAAAAAAAAAAAAAAATGCAGACTCTGAGGTCCTACTGACTGAACCAGAATCTGCATGTTAACAAGATCTGCCTGGTATTTCCCACATAAAGTTCAAGGAACACTGGTCTAGGTGATTTCTTTCTATCCCGATTTTGAGTTTAGTAAGAAAAGCTGTGGCTGCTGAATTCTACCAAACTTTTTGGCATCTATTGATCCCAAAAATTGGATTCCTCCTTAGTGGCTGCCATGCATTCTAGTGTCTGATACCCTAATTCTGGGCCAGCCCTGCACCCTACAGCAGGAGGCCACCTTTCAACCCCCCAAGCATTGTCCTCACCACTTACTTCCCCATCCATGTCTCGGGCTCCCCAAAGCATCTCCAGGTTTAGACGGGTATTCTCCGCTTGAGGTGCCAGGGCTGTGAGCAGCACACAGTGGGTGCTCAGAAGTCACGTGATTTTTTTTAAAAAATATATGGCCTAAAGGCTCCAATGCTTGCTTTCTTTTTTTTTTTTTTAATTTTTTTTTTTTTTTAATTTACGATAGTCACAGAGAGAGAGAGAGAGAGAGAGAGGCAGAGACACAGGCAGAGGGAGAAGCAGGCTCCATGCACCGGGAGCCCGACGTGGGATTCGATCCCGGGTCTCCAGGATCGCGCCCTGGGCCAAAGGCAGGCGCCAAACCGCTGCGCCACCCAGGGATCCCGAAGTCACGTGATTTAACTCGATCTGTCATCCTTGTATGGCTGAGCGGACGGGGGAGCCGGGGGTGGACTTCCTCCTCTCCATGCAGATGACTTTTTATCTTGTTGAGTCACAGACCTCTGAGAACCTGGACACCTTCCCAGGAAAACAGCCATTAATGGCTTTCCCTCCCTGCTTGTTGGGAAGCTCCTGGCTGTCCTTAAGCCCATGGTAAGACCCTTGCTCCCTGCTCTCCCAAAACCTTTGGCTGTGGGACATCCTACAGAAATCCCCACCAGCAGTACCCAGCTGGTACTGGGTATTCTGAGGCTTCACCACAAGCCAGGCGTTGTGCTGAACACCCACGGGGGCTCCACTGAGTCTACCCACAACTCCAGAGGGCAGATGGTACTGCCAACCCATTTTACAGATGGGGAAAACCCAATTTCCTCAAGAAACCAGAAACTCGGGATCCCTGGGTGGCGCAGCGGTTTGGCGCGTGCCTTTGGCTCAGGGCGCGATCCTGGAGACCCGAGATCGAATCCCGTATCGGGCTCCCGGTGCATGGAGCCTGCTTCTCCCTCTGCCTGTGTCTCTGCCTCTCTCTCTCTCTCTCTGTGTGACTATCATAAATAAATAAATTTTAAAAAAATTAAAAAAAAAAAAAAGAAACCAGAAACTCCTTGATGGCAAGGTCTGATGTTTTATGGCTGGGGCCTGGACCAGCTAGAATGTCACTGTTGATTACGAGGCCTGGCTGGGAAGCTGCAGGGGCCTCCACGCCCTGTCCCCTAAGCCCCTTGCCTCTGCAGACAGTTCTGAATCTGGTTAAAATGGACCACAGCTGACTGGACCAGGGTGCCAGGTGGGACTCAGGGACATTCACACATAGCTCTATAGGCCATCCAGCAGTCTCTAGGGTGACCCAAGTGCTCTCTAGTCTGGGTGGCCCTCACCACACAGGACCAAGCTGACCCTCCTTTGGTGGGCAATAAAGTTAGGGACAGAAGGAGCACGCAGATGACAGGGAGGAGGAGTGGGGCAGAGCTGAAAGGCTACCGACAAAAGGAGGAAGTAGAGGGCAGGGAGGAGGGGAGAGAAACTTCTGGTAAAACAGCCCCATGAGAAGTGGGTCACATCTCAGAGGGGCCACACAACATGAGCAGCAAACAGACCCTGGCCAGACCTGCCTTCATGCAAACAGCATCTCAGAGGGGGGGCAGCCTCAGGAGCCCCCAGAGCCCAGCTGGGGACCAATGTGCCACTCGCACTGAAAGTGAGCCAGAAGTAGCGACGTGAAGCCCTGCCCAAGGGGTTGCTTTTTGTTTATTGACCAGACACAGTGGCCTTGGTTTCTGGACATAGTCAGCATGAGAGTGCCTGTCTCCTGGGATGGGGCAGGGGTCCAGAATGATCGGCCAGGAGCTACCAAGGAGAGAAGACGCCACTCAACTCCTCCACAGGGAAGAAGAAACACCAGCAGCTTTGCCCTACAATCACCAGGCAGGTAGAGGAGGCTGGAGTTTGCAAGGTCCTTCCAGATGGCTCCAAGGACAAAGGGAGCTCTGGTCCCTTTGATGGTCTCCCGGGTGTAAGGTAAAGGCAAGGGCTACAGAGCCCAGCCAGCACAGTCCCAGAAAGAGTTTAGGGGGATGCACAGAGGCCCAGGAGCTCTGGTGTGCCCCCATCCCACAATGAGCCTGGGCTCTGGGGCCAGTTCAGGTGAGGACACTGCCTGAGGCCACCTGTAGCGGCGGAGGCCTAGCTATGGGTGTGTTAAGGGTGACAAATCCCACCTTCTTCTGGCCCTGGGTTCCCTCTGTAGGCAACAGATAGCCACCAGCAGGGATCAAAGTCCACAGAAACAGTGTGTCCAGGTTGGGTGTCCTTGTGCGTCCTGGCATCTCCAAAGGAGCCAGCAGCTCTCAGGGGAGGTAGAGTGCCACCACCACATAGATGACCCAGCTGGTGGACACAAAGACCCCGAAGAGCAGACTGAAGAGCACGAGTGAGCGGGCCTTCCGGGAAGCCTCCTCAGCCTGGGCCAGGTCCCCCCGGCTCAGGGCAGCACGGGTCTGCAACGAGACGGAGGCAGGGAGTGGACATGGAGCTCCCCCAACTCCCACACACCACCAACAGCGCTGGGGCCCGGTGCACAGCCTGGAATGCTGGCACCCTGAGATGCTCAGGACCTGCCCGGGGCCACCATGTATGAAGGAGGCCACGGCTGCCAGCTCTGGGGCACCTACCTTGGGCCCGGCACAGAACCATGCCCTTGGCCTCACCTACAGCCCTCACAACAATCCTAAGACTGGGGTCCCTGTTGCCTCCACTTTGCAGATGAGAAAACAAAGGCCCAGTGAAGGGCCCCACCCAGGGCCCCACAGCTAGTGGTGGAGCCAGAACTCAGAGGCAGGCAGGCAGTGGCCTCCAGACTCCCACCTCTGAGCAGTCATGAGAGCTGCCTTCTCCACAGCATCCCGGCTTTATGATGGAGGAGCCTGACCAGTGCGGGGAAGTCAGGGCCACAGCCAGGTCTGCTTTGGGCAGAAGCCCCCAGGGGCCTGCCTACTCTGTTTATTGGGACGTCTTCACAGTGGCATCACTTGGTCCCCAGGGACCAACCCCATGCCTGGGAATGGTCAGGAATATCAGGAGGAAGGAAGGAAGCTATGCAGGGGATGGATGGATGGATGGACGGACAGACAGACGGACAGGGGTGGATAGACAAGGAAAGATGGATGCGTGAGTTATTAGATAATAGAGGGGTGGGTGGAAGAGTGGATGGACAGATGGAGGGATGAAAGGAGGCTAGGGAGGTAGTCAGCGGATGGACGGTGGGTAGACAGGTGGGTAGCTAGATGGCTAGAAGGAATGCGTGCACGGACAGTCTCTACCCCATTAAACACAAGTCCCCACTGAGGCAGGCAGTTCCTTGGGCCTTATCAATCATTCACACCTTTGTTGTAAATTGGTTTAGCCAAATGTTCTGGAGTAGATCTCCAGTGGTACGGAGCAGACAGGAGAGGGGAGGAGTGGCCATCCAAGAGGGCTCCCCGGACAACTGAGCACTGATGCCCCAGTTCCTGGCACCCTCCTGAGATCCCCAGGGGCTGGGACAGGGGCTGTGTGGCCCCCCACCTACCTCGTGGGAGTAGACGATCGCAATGAGCCCCGTGAGCAGGCAGCAGAAGAGGGTCACCAGCACGGACTCCATCATGTAGTCCTTGGGCAGGGGCCTGTGCTCCACCGCGGTGGGGGCTGGCAAGCCAGCCACGGGGCTGTTGTACTGCGGGGACAGAGGTCACCACACTGCGGTGAGGACACAGCCAACCAGGGCCATGGAAGGGTCCCTCTGTGCACTCCCCCACACCTGGCTCCCACCCAGTGAGGCTGTGGGTCACTGAGAGGTCAGGTCGGGGCCCCCCTTCAGCCCTCTTGCTGTGCCCCCCACCTGTCACCAGCCCCTAGGGGTCTTCTCACTTCTGGCCTCTACAAACTGCTCATCTCCATATCTCCCTGCCCTGACTGGGCTCCCATGGGGTGAGGGGGCCTCTAAGCTCTTCCCCACAAGCACCCAGGGGCCTTTCAGTGTTTCTAAAAATCTAATCAAGTCATCTCCCACCCAAAGGCGCTGAGGCCCTCACCACAGACCTCCTATCCTGCCCTCCTAAGCTGACCCCCACTACCCCCAGGCCTGTGCCCAGAGCGCCCCTCCTCCTCTTCATCTGAAGGCTCCTCCTCATCCCTCAGAACTCAGCTCAAATGCCCCCACCTCTGGGAAGCCTTCCAGGCTTGCCCTCTCCCCAGACTGTGGAAACCTTTCCCTTTCCTCATCTGGGCCCCGCAGCCCAGCTTGTGGTCACCTTTCATCATGTGTGCCAAGCTCTCCCCTGGGCAGGGCGGCAGTGGCGAGTGGGGGCAGCGAGGGGGGCCGCGTGGGAAGTGGGCGTGGTGCAGGGGGGCCCCACTCACCACCGGGAAGGGTGTGAAGAGCGGCGGCGCGGCAGGTGCTGGGTACAGGGGCGCGGCCGTCGACGGCGGGTACAGGGCCTGGGGCGAGGGCCCGGGCTGGAAGAGGACAGGCCCCTGCGGGAAGGGCGGGTAGAGCAGGTGCACGGCCTTGGGGTCGGGCGGCGCGTAGGGCGGGGGCTCGCCCACGAAGCCGATGTTGGGCACCCCGCCAGCTGCCGCCTTGGGCCCCTGCGGGGCCTCGCCTGTAGCCTGGGTCTGGGGAGCGGACGAGGCCGCGGCCTCGGCCTGGGCATCTGCCGGCGGGTCCTCGGGGGCCGGGGAGCTGCCCCCACCCGCGGCCACTTCCTCCCTGGGCCCTCCGTCCTCATCCAGGAGCTGCGGGCGCTGCGGGAGCTGCGGGGGAGCGCAGGGCTCCGGGAGTCCTCGGGGGATGCGGGGCCGCCGCCTCCTTTTGCGTCTGCTCCTGGGAAGACAGGCCAGGTGCCGTGAGCCCCCAAGCACCACGGACCCAGTGGGACCCCTCCCCCACCCCCAGCTACAAATCACAGCCCCTCCAGGGAGAAAGTCCCAACACCGCTGCCAGTCCCCACTCTTCCCAGGGGGAGGCTGCACTCAGGTCTCTCCCCACTGGGTGTTGGAAGAATCTACCCAAAGTATAGGGGTAGGAGGGGAAAACAGGTGCCGAGGGGAAGGTGCTAGCTGGCAGTCATGCAGCCAAAGCATCCCCAGGCTGGGACGGAACACAGGCCTGACCTTGGGTCCAAGGCTGCCACTGGGGAGCAGTCCTGCCCCCCGCCCTGTCGCTGGTAGACTGGACAGGGAAGGGTGTGTCCAGGGCAACCCCTGAGAGCCGATCTGAGGAGACGATCTGAGCCAGACTCCTGGCTTGGGAGGCAGGGAAGATGGGGTGCTCCAGAGTAGCCGGACCCTGGCTAATGGACTGACCTCAAAGAACCAGGAAGTCACCAAGGGCCAAATGCCAGCTGAGGCATAGAGGGGACAGAAGCCCGAATGGGGGTGGGGAAGAGGCAGAGAGCAGAGCAGTAGGTGGGGAAAAGTCCACTAGCAGTGGAAACTGAGAGCTCAGAGGCCCTCGATTGCCTGGCTGCCCATCAGCCCTGGCCCCGGCCATCAGCACCCCTGGGATAAACTCCTGTGGAAACCATAAAGGGAAAGCTCACTAAGGTGGCAGCAGGATGCCAGATGAGAGAACTGCTCACCCCCCACGTCAATTCCAGGAAGAACTGTTAGTTACAGACCCCAGCAGGCACGCCTGCAACAGAAGAGGAAGAGGACTACAGACCCAACAGTGAGGATGGATGTTGCATCTCCTACAAGGAATCCGCCCTGAGCTCCTGCTTTTCTCCAGTGGCCTTCGGTTCAGGACAGCCCTTCCCAACATCTCTTCCTTCTCCACAAAATAACACTCCTCTCCTTCCTTTGTTGGATTTGCCTGGGGTTTGCCGTAGCTTGCATTTCCCAAATTGCAATTGTCTGCTATTCCCAAACAAACCCACGTGTGCTGGCAAAATAACGGACTTCTATTTTTTAGGGTGTCACTCCAGAGGTACCCAAACAGGTTCTCCAAGTCTTTTTTTTTTTTTATGATAGTCACAGAGAGAGAGAGAGAGAGAGGCAGAGACACAGGCAGAGGGAGAAGCAGGCTCCATGCCCCGGGAGCCCGACGTGGGATTCGATCCCGGGTCTCCAGGATCGCGCCCTGGGCCAAAGGCAGGCGCCAAACCGCTGCGCCACCCAGGGATCCCAAGGTTCTCCAAGTCTTGAAGGGACCCTGCACCTCCCGAGAGCACCCTGGCCAGCTGAGTACCCCTAAGTATCAGGAAGGGCCTGTAGGAGAAACCCTGGTAGGTATACAAGGCTCCACAGTAGAGTGGGTGGCCCAGGGCCTGGCTTTAGAGGTTTATTTCCCAAATGTCCTTAAAGGTTACAGGAGGCAGAGAGAGAAGCAGAACAGCTGGAGCAGCAACAGCTCAGGAGAGGTGGTAGGAGCCCTGCTGAGATAGCCCACCAGTCCCAGGAGGCCTTGGAGGGACTGAGTTAGAGGCCAGGGATCCTCAGAGAAGGGATCCCCAACAGCAAGGAGTGCTGAACTCCTGAGAACTCCCCACCCACCCACTCCCAGCAGCCAGGGTGTCACTCACAGGCCTGCGGTGGGGTTCATGCCTCCATACCCTCACCCATGCCCACCTGCTATCTCCGTACTACCTGAATCTGGACGGGACACGTGACATGCTTTGGCCAACAGAATGCCAATAAACATCTCCCGGGGGTGCCTGGGTGGCTCAGTCAGTTCAGTATCTGACTCTTGATTTTGGCTCAGGTCATGATCTCAGGGGTCCCCCTGCTCATTAGCCCTGCCACCTGTCCACCTGGTGCAGCGCCCCCTCTTCCTCAGTCCCTCCTGAGCTTCCAGCATAAGGGGGCCAGTTTTGGATCATGCCAGAGTGGCTCCCAAGGAGCAAACAAACCAGCACCTAGAAAGGAAGGAGCTGCAGAGGGGATCCCCTACTTGTGTGAATCGGGGTGACCAATATATCTGTTTTCCCAGGGCTTTCTCAGATTTGCTACTAAAACTCTCATATCCTGGGAAAACCCTTAGTCTCAGATAAGCCAGGGTGATTAGTCACCCCAGACTGCATCCACACAGATCTTGGACTCTCCCCCTCCAAGCTGCATGTGTAGGCGACAGACCTAGACCAGCATAAAGGACAACCAAACCGGACCACCAAACCAGCCAGGAAGCAACTAACCAAAAGCAATAAGTACACACCTATCAATAATTAACCTAAATGTCAACGGGGAGGGGGGAGTCGGGGGGCACTGGCAGGCTCAGGTGGTTAAGCCTCTGCCTTAGTCTTGGGTCACGGTCCTGGGGTTGAGCCTCATGTTGAGCTTCACACTCAGTGAGGAACCTACTTCTCCCTCTCCCTCTGCCCTCTACCTCAATGCTCATGTGCTCTCACTCTCTCATTTCCTCTCGAATGAATAAAAAAATAAAATCTTAAAAAAATAATTAACTTAAATGTCAATGGCATAAATTCTCCAGTCAAAATACACTGAAAACCTGAAAGGGGAAAAAAAAGACCCATTTATATACTGCCTACAAGAGACTTGCTTAAGATGGACACACACACGCTGAAATTGGGATGGAAAAAGGTATTCCGTGCAAATGCAGACCCCAAAAAAGCTGGTGTAGCTGTATTTATATCAAACTAAACTTTAAAACAAAAACTGTGGGGCTCCAGGGAGGCTCCGTCAGTTAAGTGCCTGACTCTTGATTGTGGTTCAGGTCATGATCTCGGGGTCCTGGGATTGAGCCTCACAGTAGGCTCCATGCTAGGCATGGAGTCTGCTTGAGATTCTCATTCTCTCTCTCTCTCCCCGCCCCCCTTCACTTTTCCCCAATAAACACACACTCTCTCACACTCTCTAAAAATAATTAATCAACATAAAGACTACAATAAGAGACAAAGAAGGGTATTACATAATGATACAGAGGTCTGACACAAGGATATAGCAATTATGCTCCCAACGCAGGAGCACCTAAATATACAAGCAAATATCAACAGACCAAAAGGATGAAACAGACAGCAATATCACAATAGTATGGAACTTCAGTACTCACATACACCAGTGGATAGAGCATCCAGAGAGAAAATTAATATGGAAACATGAGCCTTCAACACGTCAGGCCAGATGGACTTAGATCTACACAGAACATTCCACCCAAACCCAGCAGAATACATACCACTCCCAAGTGCACAAGGCACATTCACCAGTATAGAACGTATGTTAGGCCACAAACAAGTCTCAATAAATCCAAGACTGAAATCTTACCAAAGATCTTCTTGAACCACAGTGGTACAAAAATAGAAAGCAACTGCAAGGAAAAAACTGGAAAATTCACAAAAGCGTGGACAATCAACAACCTGCTGCTGAACAACCAGTGAATCAAAGATGAAATCAAAAGGCAAATTTAAAAATACCTCGTGACAAGTGAATATGGAAATACAATGTCCCAAACTTCAGGGATGCAGCAAAAGCAGTTCTAGGGGAGAATTTTGAGGTAATAAATGCCTCAATAATAAAAAAATAAAAATAAAAATAAAAAAAACAAGAAAAATCTCTAATTAACCACCTGACTTTACACTTTAGGAAATTAGGAGAAAAGATGAAGAAATGAAGCCCAAGGTTAGGAGAAGGAAGGATACAACAAAGAAGAGAGTAGAAATAAGTAGACTAGAGACTAAAAAAACAAAAGATCAATGAAACTAAGAGCTAGTTCTTTGAAAAGATAAAACTGACAAACGTACAGCTAGACTCACAAAAGGAAAAAGAACTCAAAATCAAAAACAAAAGGCATTACAAAGATACCACAGAAACACAAAGGATCGTAAAGAGACCATGAACGCCAACAATCTGACAACCTAGAAGAGCTCAATCAATTCCTAAAAACATACAACCTACCAAGACAATCATGACAATCAAGACGATCTCCTAGTAAGGAGATGGAGTCAGTTCACCAAACACCTTCCAACAAACAAAAGTCCAGAACCAGACGGCTCCACTGGTGAGTCCTACCAGTCAGAGAACTAATAGTCCCTCAAATGCTTCCCAAAAATAGAAGCGGAGGGAACACTTCCACACCCATTTTACAAGGCCAGCATTACCCAGATACCAAAACCAGGTGAGGATGCCACAAGAAAAAAATCACAGGCCAGTCAGTGGCCCTGATGCACACAGATGCAAACATCCTCAATAAAATGGCAGCAAACCAAATTCAACAGTACATTAAAAGGATCACACACCAGGACCTGAGTGGAATGGGATTCCAGGGAGGGTTCAAAATACACACAGAAAACCCAATATGATACACTCACTACATTAACAAAATGAAGGGGAAAAAAATCATAGGATCATCTCAATAGGTGCAGAAAAAGTATTGACAAAAGTCAATATCCATTTAGGATAAAAACCCAACCAACAAAATGGGTATAGAGGAAACACACTTCAACATAAGGAAGGCCACGATAGATGCCAAGCCCACAGCTAGCATCATACTCACTTCTGAAAAGCTGGAAGCTTTTCCTCCAAGAACAAGAACAAATTGAGGATGCCCACTCCCGTCACTTTAATTCAACATAATTCTGGAAGTCCTAGCCACAGCAGTCAGGCAACAACAACAACAACAACAAAAATAGAAGGCATCCACACTGAAAAGGAAGAAATTAAAGGGTCATTATTTGCAGATGACATGATATAATAACTAGAAAACCGGGGATCCCTGAGTGGCGCAGCGGTTTGGCGCCTGCCTTTGGCCCAGGGCACGATCCTGGAGACCCAGGATTGAGTCCCATATCGGGCTCCCGGTGCATGGAGCCTGCTTCTCCCTCTGCCTGTGTCTCTGCCTCTCTCTCTCTCTCTCTGTGACTATCATAAAAA